GGGGGACAGTCCCAAAACACCCAGCACTGGCCCAGAGCAGAGTCACAAGGAGCAAACTGAGATTACCATTTCTTTGTGAACCGGGCAATTAAGAATTGACACCTTGAGGCATCCAGATGGGTCATTACTCAGTGACTGATATTCCCCATAATCTACATGGCCTTGGGAAAAGCTATTTGTCTCTCCACACCTCAGATCCTACAGATGGACTTGCCCCTTTATCAGCAAGCAAACAGAGTCAGGATTCAATTTAAAAGCCACAAGATCCAGCACGGTGAAATCGGCCACTGAACATAGATGGTCAGTCCCAGCTGAAGAGCCAGGAGAACTACTCGTGGGTGGAGGACCTAGTCAAGAGCCACCCCAGTCCTGACCCTGCATCCGGCTGGCTGGGGAAGCCAGGCAGACCTAAGGAGATCTTCCGCTCTCCTGTCAAGAGCTCCCACTTGTTTCCTAAGCATCTGTCCTCAGTTTAATCAGTAACTGAACAAGTGGGATGAAATCCCAGCTTAGCGGAAGCCCAATTACTGACGTCTGTGATGGCAGGATTCCCATCCCAGCACCACCACCTTTCTCATCTGGGTCACACAAGAAACTACTAACTGGTTGCACTTGACCTGTTCCCTGCAGGCTGAGCTCCAGCCTTGCCGAGTCCTACACGCCTTTCCAGAGCATGCCTTGGGCTCCTGCAAGAGGGCAAAGGACCTACAGCCCTTCTTTACAGTTCTGCACCAGCCCACAATGAAGCCAATGAACAGCAAGCATAAATCTCAGCTAGGACTTCTCCAAACGCCACACCAGAGGAGATGCTGGACCTGCAGGAGGCATTTCAAGAGAGCAAAGCAGGGCTGCTCTGATAACATGAGGTTCAAGCACAAACAGAGGCTGTTGCAGAGTTCTGCAAATCACCTCTTCAGCAGTCTGTGCCTGGCTGCCTTTCTGGGACCATCCTTTCCCATCCTCCACAGGCAGAAAGAGATGTAGGACAGTCACACGGGCCAATATCAACATCCCAGGAAAAGGGAAAAACACAGACTCAGAGAAATAAAAACAATTTTGCCTAGCAACAACAAGGAGGGCTTCTCTCCCCTCCAGGTAATGGCATCCAAAAGACAGGTCAGCAGGTCCTTACCCACCTAAGACCAGCTGATTTCTCTTCCAGAAGCTGTGTTCCAGAAGGGAGGGGTGGTCACAGCCAGGGCTGGAGGCTGCATAAGGATGCAGAGGCCGACCTACCAAAAAGGGTAATCTAGGAAGATCAAATGGCACTTAAAAACACACACCTCCACTCCCCCCACCCCAACAAAAAACAAAAAAAACCAAAAAAAAAAAAAAAAAAAAAAGGGAGAGAGAGAGGAGTGTGGCACATGGATACTGGAGCAGCATCGGGGCACTGTCAAATTGTGAAAGGGTAGAAGAAACCCAACCAGACACACCTAATTCATCAGGCTCTTCATGAAGAGAAAAGCCCTTGTGTCCTCACAGCAATTGGGCTGGCACAGCCCCCTGTTAAAAGATGCTGCAAGTGTGATCTTGATTAGCTGAATTGCTGCAGGCTGTATTTTAAAGGAGCTGTGGCTAATCTTATTTTGATTGCCTTAAAATTCAGTTATGGGGAAAAGCCTGGCACGTGGGCAGATATATTAATCGTTTTGGAGCAGCCTTGTCTCTGAAGCTGGTGTTTGATTAAAAGGGAGTGCAACCAACGGGCACTTCAAAAAGCTGGTTCTATTTTTGACTGCCTCATTCGGAGCGGTTCCTGATGCTCCGATGTGCCTAGCAAACCCTTTGGGACCGATACTTCCATTTTCCTGTATTCAGTGAATGTTTCTATATCATTCATCATGAATAAACAGAGAAAAGAGATTTGCTTCCTCCTGAAAGGCTAACATTAAAAGTTTAATATAATGTTTTATATAAATACATACACAGTACATTCAGCTTCTGAATTTGCAAGAGCTCAATTTGCAAGAGCTCCACAGCCTTAACAGGAGGCCTTTCTACCCTACATAATCTTTAGGTATCTGCAAAGCAAACTCAGCAAGGAGGAGTCAGAAAACAGTGCCTAAAGTAAAGGGAGGATTTTCCCTTCTAACTCATTATAATATTTTTTTAGCATCTGTATTTTTAATAATCATCTGAAAAGCCATTTTGCAGCACAGCGTTTGTTGTTTCGACCTTGTTTTCAGTTGGGTAATTGTGAAGTGAGTGGATAAATGCTTTCTCAGCTGAGAACAAGAGGCACCATTAAGCATCAAGCTCCTGTCCTAAATTTATGTTCAAGACAGCTGGAGAAGCAAAGGATTGGAGCCTGCTCCAGTTATCACCCTGATGGCCAGACTGGAGACAGCATCCTCTGGGCACCCTCTGCAGGGACACCCAAATGGTACTCCACCTCTCTGCATGGATGAGGCTCTGTGAGGTACAAGGAGATGCTGTTTAACCCCAGGACAAAACCTGGCTGCCCATTGGCTACTGCCTTGGCTGCTGGTGATGCTCAGTGGCCAAAACTAAGCTGTGCCCCCTTTTCCCGATTCCTTTGTGGCCCAGGAGAAAAGGGTCTCTGGAGGGACAGGGCTCCAACCTTGGGGACACACAGTGCTTAGAGGTGCAGGAAGCTCAAAAAGAAAAAAAAAAAAACATCCCAAAACCCCCAAAATCATTACCATGTTTTGTCCCTTCTGGGCAAATGCCCTCACAGAATTTTACTTACCGTAAAGTAAAATGGTGCAATCCATTTTTTTCCTCTGTAACGTGTTCTTGGAAGCCAGGAAGAATAGTAGAGCCCCTCCAGCCAAATAAGCAAACCCCAACACCTCCGAGCTCCAGAGCAGCATAGTTTTCTTCTGGTTGCAGTACCCCTGCTCCAGCTAGTCCTCATGGTCATGCCGTGGTCAGAAGAGAGGACACGGTGTCTGCTTCGGTTCTGCTCCGGTGGCATTCCCCAGCCCAGGCACAGAGAGATAGTGTAATTTTGGGGCATTCGCGAGGAAGGTGCTGCCTTGAACGTTCCCCAGAAGGGAGATGCAAAAGACCACTTGGTCCATAAAAAGATGATGGCAGGAACGGCCTCATTAACCCAGGAGGATGTTTGTGTGTGGTTAATCCATATTTAAAGATAGGAACAGTTAAAGCATCGACCCCTGCAGAAGGTACCTCTCAAGGAACTGGGAAATAGCACCAAAAGCTAAAAAAAGGACTTGTGAAGCAATGTCACACATTTTTACTAACTTGCTTAGTTTTCCAAACGCCTCATTTTATACTACAGGTGGATGAGCAGCATTTTCTCCATAGGGAGAGTGGGAAAGGGTCCTCTTCCACAACGCCCCTTTTTTTCCCGTGAAGCATGCTGAACTTTTATTTTCTGTGGGATTTCTAAGTCCTGTAGAACTTGTGTGGAGGACGCTGGGGAGACGCACAAACACTTGTGCTTACCCCATAACCCCCCCTATGGACACCCACAAGCCCAGTCCTATACCAAGAGAACCCCATTTCAATCACAGCTAGACCCACCAGAGAATCAACAGCCACCAAAAAAAAAAAACAAAACAAAACATTTTCTGGAGAGCACACAGGGCTTGTAAGACCCCCACCCCACAAATGAAAAGCCAAAGCCTACTCACTATCAGGGTCCAATTCCCTTCCAATAGTGAAGGCAACACACATACAAGAGAAGTTGCCAGGATGAATCACAAGAAGGAGGCAGAAGTCGTAATTAAGGTTTTGTTCTTTTTTTCTTTTTTTATTATAAAAAAAAAAATCTATTCAGAAGAAGTCCAAATGCAACAGAATATTACTGGCACCATCTAAGATACCCAAGTGTAAAATCCCAGAATGTTTGAACCCCCCCCCCAGCATGAGCTAGGAGGTGCCAGGGCTGGCCGGGAGGGACGGGTGGCCTCTCCCTTCTCCTAGCCCTCATCACAGCTGGATGGCAGGCAGCCTGAGAGCCAGGACACAACAGTGACATCAACGGTCTCTGCAAAACCCAACTAAGAACATTTTGAAAAAAAAAAAAAAAAAACTAAACCTTTTTTTTTTTCCTTTATCAAAAGCCCTGCTTTAGTGACATGCTAGCCCCGCTGGAAAGGTAAAACACCCACAGCTTTGTCCAGAACACAATGAAGTTGACCGGTCAACTCCTAGTTCAGAACATCTTCCTCCTGTTGATCTAACGCACTCGTGAGCGTTTCGCGGCTGCTCAAGTTACAGTGATAAATGCTTCTGAGGGCTTCCCAGGTCTGGGAACCGCCTCCTGCAAACTCCACTCCATGCTGAAACAAATCTCATCCAAACCTCCTCCACTGAGCCTTCCAAGCTCACTCAATCCCACCTGGAGGCCCACCACCAGCATCCTCAGGAGCTCTGCCTGCTCTAGCCGGGTGAGTCATTGGAACGTCATCTTTTTTTTTTTTTTTAAAAAAAAAAAGAACACTTTCATATATAATTTTTTTGTTGTTTTTATATTTAAATAGAAAAATACTACTTCACTCTGTGTTATGAGCCAGAGACCAGTTGACTTCCAGTGACAGAACCAGGAGTTTTCCTCAATGCTCCTACGCTGTGCTCAATGCTGTAAGATTCCCAGAAACCTCAGAGTGGCCAGAGGGTGCAGATCTCCCCATCACACCATACAGGCAGGAGCACGCAGGGCTCCATCACAGCTCCTGTCTTCCCTTCTCTGCAGAAGGGCGCCAACCTTAGAGAACCATCCATCTCCAGAGAGCCAGTGGTGGGGCTAACACCCCAAATTTTGACTCTTGGGGGGAAGTCAGCTATAGTTTTAAGCTTTCCACTCACCTACTGGCTTTTTGTGTGTGCGGTCTGTCCCTGGAAGCCACTGGATCCCATCAGATGTACACATGAATTAGACAAAAAAATAAAACAGTGGTTAAAAGTTCTCTAACACCCTCTCCTCCTCTTGTCTTCTGAAGAGTCAATGACAAACAGACATCGATAAAACTAAATTTGCCCTCCTCCCCACCTCAAGACAACAAGAGTTACTGAGACACAAAACGTGTTATCTTGTACCCTTGGGATTACATCTAGAAGGGAAGTTTAGGGGTGCAGGAAGTGCGGGGGGAAGGCGGTGTCTGTGGGCGCAGTCCACTTAGTTCTTGTACTCAAAAGGCTCGTCTCCAGTTTCGTTGAGGAGACACGTGCGGACGAGGGCCTCTGTCACAGCATAAGGATCACAGTTGGCGGAGGGCCGGCGGTCCTCGAAGTAGCCCTTCTTCTCATGGCCCACATTCCTGGGGATACGGATGCTGGCGCCGCGGTTGGCCACGCCAGCAGAGAACTCGTGGATGTTGGATGTCTCGTGGAAACCCGTCAGGCGCCTGGCATTGTCCAGCCCCCCTTTGGGGTCATAGGCACGGATGTGGTACTGGTGACGCTTGCTCAGCTTCTCAATGGCCTCTTCAATGTGCCTGCAAAGGGAGCAAGGAAGAGGGGAAGACACAGTGAGTGTCTGATGGATGGTATGAGCCACTCTTGACGGTTGCATCCAAACCACAGCAGATTCATCACCATCCCCAAGCCACTTCATGATGATGCCTATGACCTACAGCCCATTTTTCTGATCATCTCAACACAGGGTTTCTCTCCACTTCTACTTCCGACGCAGGCTGGTTCTTGGAAAAGTAGCCCCATGGCCTGAAAGGGTCCCTCAGGACTTCTGCGTGTGGGACACCACTGGTCTGTCCCATGGCCAAATCCCACAGACACACTGCCCTGGGGAACCCGCTCTCAAAGGGGAGATTTCTTAACACAAAGGTTTCTATTTGGGTAGCTCACACAGTCATGGCTTGGCTCATTATCTCTGGGCATCGCTAACTTTAAGGCAAGAAAACACAGCTGCCGGCAGGAATCCCTTCATAGACTTCCACTGCAGCCCAGTGCTGCGAGGTCCCTGCCTGCACTCAGTGCATCAGTCCCACAAGGGAACTAGCTTTACATTTCCAGGATCTTGTTTAAGAAAAGGTGGCATCAGCTTCCACAGCCTGGTCTAGACAGTTGCAAATGGTCTTTCTCCTTCATCATATACAAAAAAAGGCCGATGCTGAGTTTGTTTGTTTGTTTGCAGCATTGGCAGATCAAGAGCTGGACAGCCTGTTACGAATAGCTGCGTCGTGGCCACCCATGCTTCCATCAACACTGACTGAGCAGTACTGCTGGCTGAATTTCCCACCCAACACCAAGATGGGAGTACGTAATTATACAAAACGTTAAAAAAAAAGAAGAAGAAGAAAGGCTAAAACATAACGCCAAGCACCAGAGGGACGTCTCCCATGTGGGCAAAAGCTCTGCAGAAAGCTCACGGCTACCAAGTCCAGCCTGCTGCCTCGCAAACAGATGCTACTGGCCCATCTCAAAAAAAAACTTACTTGAGACCTCCGTCTTCCCTCATGTTCTTGGTGCTGAAGTTGGTGTGACAGCCCGCACCGTTCCAGTTCCCAGGGATGGGTTTGGGATCAAAGGACACAATGACACCGAAGTCTTCGCACACCCGATGGAGGATGAAGCGTGCAATCCAGAGGTGATCCCCCATCTCAATGCCTTCGCATGGTCCCACCTGGAACTCCCACTACAAGGAGGAGGAGTCACTGGCTCAGTGGTGCAGAAACAATCGCAGTGAGACACTTCCCGCCCCCTAATGCTCCGATCGTTGATTAAACTACACGGTTCAGAGCCAAAAGCTCCCACTGCCTGGGATTTTTCTGTACTAGCTTGTTCCATGAGGCACCTAAAACAATTTACCTGGGCTGGCATCACTTCTGCATTGGTTCCTCCAATTTTCACTCCAGCATAAAGGCACGCTCGGTAGTGGGCCTCCACAATGTCTCTGCCATAGGCTTTGTCTGCCCCTACACCGCAGTAGTACGGACCTGCAACAGCACAGGTGAACAGCAAGGGGAACGTGAGTTTCCAGAAGGAAAGAGGCTTAAATTCAGTGAAGACTGAGCACACGCAGGGAAGAACTCTCCAAAGGCTTGAGATGTGTGGAAAAAAACCCCAAAAATCTGTTTTTCATGGAAGGAGGAGCAGAGTACAGCACTGATGGAGAGCGAGTCCCTCAGAGTCTGGGCTTGTGCTCTGTCGTGCTGGGCATGAGTTTAAGTCACCTGCAGACTAACAAACCGAGCAGCAAATTTGGATGAGGCCAATCACCATCTTAGCCTTTCTGTAATGATCTTAATCTCATGGGTTAGTTTTTGCCAATATCCTTCTTGCTATTGTCCACCTTCAATTCTAGAGACACCTCCAATCTTTCAGCTCGCCTGAAGCACTTAAGCTGCATCACATGGATAACAGTTCAAACACTCCTGAGTCGGTCCAGCGCAGACTCCCGAAAGATTACCTTGGGGTCCAGGGAAGCCGTTGGAAGGCCAGCCAAACGGATGTCCATCTGTCCCCAGAAGAGTGTACTCTTGCTCCATGCCAAACCAGGGGTGCTGGTTGGACACCATATCCATAATCCGCCTGCAGGTGTGTCGGAGATTTGTCTCTAAAACAGAAACAGCACGAGGCTTATTAGCACTTCCACTGCCATTCCCCATTTCTACTTTCTTTACAGTTCGAGTAATGGTGAAGAATCCCAGGACCAGCCCTTTCTCCATCACCACTTTGTTTGCCTTTTATTTTCAGGGCAGGGATTATTTTTGTGTCATGCAAGATGCCAAGGGCATGAACAGCATTTGGATAGGTCTCCCTTTCCCCTTCCCAGAAATACCACCTCCACCAGGAGAAGGGAGAAGGTCCACTCACCTGCAGACTGGCGGTTGTATTTGAAGACCTCACAGAGAACTAGTTTATTGGGATCCTTGCGAAAAGGGTCCCGAAACATGGCAGCAGGTCGCAGGTACATGTCGCTGTTGGAGCCTTCAGCCTGGAAGGTGCTGGAGCCATCGAAATTCCACTCAGGGAGATCTGGAGCGGAGAGAGGAACAAGCCACAGTGACCCAGGGCCCCCGGTCACCAGGAGGATGGGCTCCCTGCCACCCTCCAGTATTAGAGGTGAAGATGCTTATAGAGAACAGACCTACAATAGGTTTAATCCAAGCTCAGCTGGTTTTGTTCCAAATGGGGGAAGCAAAAAAAAAAAAAAAAAACAACCAACCCAAAACAAGCAAAAACCAGGGGAGTGCAACTCCCCAGCCACCCTGGGAAACACAAGGAGCTGGGCTGCTGGCCAAGCCCAAGCAAACGCAGCAGCACTGAGGACGCTTCCCATGTCGCAACAACCACCACGAGCAAAAACACCCGGTCTCCTCACAGAGGTGGCTGGGCAAGCTGGGAGAGGGCAGAGCACGAGCCACCTTCAAGCTGTAGGAACGAGAGGAGCCATGAAATACCCTCATCCACGTTGCAAGACCTGGGGAAGGTGGGACAGCAAGTCACGTAAATAGGTGAAGTCTCATATGGAGGAAGAGTATGGGCAGCTCGTCCCCCTCATGCACCCCTCCCGGCCGTGCTCTGCCCTCCAGGTCACAACACAGCAGGAGCAGCAGTGAACTCCACCCGGGCAATGTTATCTCCTCCATATCCTGGGGGGGAAAGCGGGAGGATGGGAAGCACAAAGATTTCAAAGGAGCTGTGCCAACCACTCCCTTAGAGGAAAAAGGGGAAAGGGAAAAAAAAAAAAAAAAAGAAAGAAAAAAAAAAAAAGGTAATTCCGCTCAGTCACACACAGTATTTTCATTTCATAACTGTCTCCAGCCAGCACCATGGCAACCTGGGGAAAATCCTAATGCTATTATTGTGTAAGCTGGGACTGTTTGTTCTGAGGGACACAAGCTCTTAATTACACCGGATAGCTCCATTCTTTCCCCTCCACTTTCTTCTGCCAAACTACTTCCGGCCAAAATGAGTACTTGAGAGTCAATGGGCCACCAAGCCCCTGCCAACAGCCCCCTCCGCAGCGGGGGCAGCGCCAGGGACAGGCTCCCAACCCCGGGCCTCTCACAGAAACTCCGTATCTGGAGAGCTGGGAATGTCCCCCCAGGATATCTGGGGAAAGAGGTAACTGGAAAGGGGAGGGGAGCAATGCTTTGCCCAAATATCATCCCGCTGCCACGAAAAGGAAGAAATGGCATCCTTTCTCCGGAACAGCCAAGCACGGCTGCTTCTAGCCAGCGAGGGGCCACGAGTCCTGCACCTGCCCTCTCACCTTCAAGACTCTTGGGCTCGTGGTCCAGCGTGCGAGTCTTGCAGCGGAGATGCTCCCCTGTCCCATCGATCCAGATGTACATGGCTTGGACCTTCTCCCCCTGCGGCAGTTTCATGTACATGTGCTTGATGGCTTTGCTCAGGTGGGAGCTCGCCGAGGTGGCCATGGCTGCAGACCGGACGAGGGGGTTCCTACAAGGATATAAAAACCAACCCCAGCGGTGAGGTGAGCCCTTCCCTGCGCTCCCAGATTTTTCACCTCCCAGCCAGGGAGCAGCATGGGACAGCTCGGCGATGGGGCTCGCTGCCACCTCCAGCAGTCCCATGCCATTCTGCAGGCCCAAAAACACGGCAGCACAGGCGGATGGACGCAGGCAGCTTGGAAAGCACTGCTGCAGAAGCAATGCCTTCAAAGCGCCCCCTTAATACCCAAACTGCTGCCAATAACTTAGGCCTTATCCACCGAGCCGACAGCCCTCAAAAGCCCTCCTCAGCCCTCTGAACTTTTCACCTCCGTGCTCACCGCCTCTCCGGAGCAAGGCTAACCCACGAGGAAAGCTTAGCCGGGGCTTTCTTAACATAACTTGCTTCAAGCGAGGAGGGTTTGCCAGCCCCAGCTGCCTTCTCGCATCAGCAGATGTTACACAAGCCTCACCTGGGGCAGGAGGCAGCGCAAGCGACCCCCAAAGCCACCCAAGGGGCAGCAGCCTCCGGGCAGTAACAGGGAGGTCTGAAGGGGCTCTGGTCCCTAAGCGGCGAGACCGGCAGCATCCCTGCCGACCCCAGCACAG